AATTTATTTTTCGAAATTTTGAACGTGAATTGGCCTGCGTTCTTATACGAGATGGGTCGCCCCTCTGAGGTGTTGTGCCTTTTGCGATTAGTTAAAATTTCATAGCTTCAATTATTCTGCAATTGATCAGGATAAATTGAGGTGATGCTGCGTCCTGAAAGATCCGCTGAATTTTCTTGAATTGATTTTCAGCAGTGACTTCCTTCTGTTAGAAGTTATTAACACTGTTTAGATGAATACGTCAAATCTAGGCTATTTTGATGAAGTTTATTTGCAACAGAAGGTCTTCTAGCGAATAATTAATCGGAATGGGATCATTCAATCGAAATGAGTTGATTTCAGTTTGGTCAAATCGAAAATATGATGTCAGGTTTTAGAATGCTGCCAGTACTCACGATACTTTTGATAGCGGCTGACCTTTCATCAGCACTGTTGGATCAGTCGATTGCGATAAAAGGACAACTTGTGTGCGGCGATAAGCCAAGCACAGGTGATACTGTCAAGTTGATCAATCACAATACCTTCAGTAAGTTCATTTGAAGGCTTATTCGTGATTGGCTGAACTCTTCATTGTGAATTATGATCTATTGATCATTTGCTGCAATCTTTTTCATCTCTGAACTGCGATACTTTGATTAATGAAACAAAAAAGTAGATTGGGCTATTAAACAAAAAGTGGGTTGCTGAAGACAATGGCTAGTTAGTGGAAACTATGACTAGTATCGTTCATTTCAGAACATTGAGCGAACACAAACTTTCGGAATAATTTCATTTCCCAAATCATACTTTCAGCATTTGATAACGAACTCGCATCGGGAACAACTGATGAGCAAGGATTCTACGAACTCTCAGGTGATCTAAGTGAGAGCTGATTTCATTCTGACAAGATTCTGTTTACTTCATCCCCTCCAATATCATTTGATTAAACAAGTATTCAAATGATGCGTTGTGCTTTCAATTGATCGAAAAAATTGAAACAGAACTTAAAAAATCGCAGACTAATTTGCCATAAAAATTGCAACAGTCGTGTGATTGGTTGGACTATTATTCGAATTTTCAATTGTATTATACTTTATGTGAAGGATGGATCTGTTCCGTTTCAGAATAGTTTTATGAATCAGTAA